TTGTGGGATTGCAGGCAGTACGCTAATTTTATTCGGTTCTAACAGCTTGGTTCTACCCTCAGTTTTTTCGCATATAAGAAAGACTTAAACATTTTTCGAGACAGTTTCGTTGAAATTCACTGACCAGCCACTTGGCAAACATTAGCTTGGACGGCCGCATTTACAGGTGTTATTTTCAGGAACTTATCGGCCATACAAAATCGAGAAATTTGCTGCTACTCGATCTCTTGCAAGGAAAAGGACAATATTGGTTAGTTTTTATGCGTTTTTTGCAACTATGCAATGCAGCAAACGCATATTGACGAAAGGTTGTCTGTGTGCGTGTGTTTGTGTGTGTGTGCGCTGCACGTCTGTACCGATTTTTCATCTCGAGACCCATAAAAGCCACGGGGCTGAAACTTGGGGAACGTAATCTGTATTCATGTGCGGGCCCCAATCTCCAAAATGGGCGCTGTTACTCACGTGGTACCCACGCACGAGCCCGCCAAAATTTTTTACGAGTAAGCTGGTAACTCGGGAACCAGAAGTGCTGGGAGGCTGAAATTTTAAGCGGACGTTCCTCGTCCAAGTAGGTATTAATGAGCCCAAACCCAGCCCCCGGGTAATCGTGATACCCATGTACGGTTTCGTGAAAGTTTTTTTCGGGTATGTTACTAACTCAGAAGCCAGGGAAGCTTGAAAGCTGAAATTTTAAGGGGGTGTTTCCTGCCAGTTCTGGCGACTAGTCTTAATTTGTTTAGCTAGAAGCATTTGCCGAAAAAACTGGTGGGGAACTATGCAAAAAACGCATCTTCGCATGGGCAGCCCGTGCGTTGGCCAATTATTTTAGTTTTTACAAGTTAGGGTGTGGCATGTTCGTTGTGCAGCGGAGATGTATTCTCAGTGATTAACATTTATATTCGAGGCTGTGGTTCACTGTTCGGGAAAAGTCAGATCTTTGTATAAATTTGTTTTCAGATATAACTTTGAATTGGTTGATTAAGCATTCCAAAAGCGAGCGCTAATTGGTGTAATTATCGAGCGCTTATATGCCCACGGTGGAATTAATGATCTAACATCTGGAATTGTCGTCTTATTTCTATAGCGTGTTCAGGGAATGCGGTTGGGAGGAGGGCACGGATTTGCGTCTACTTTTATAATCACCAGGCACCAAATTTAGCGGAAGAGATTGGTAATTTGGAAAACAACAGGGATAATTTTAATCGAAGTGAAACGTATTTGTCAGTGTGAAATTATGCTGGCTCGTAGTTAGCTAAGTGCGGGAGCGCTGAAGCCGATACTAAAGTGATAGACAAAAGTTGTGGAAATTAGTGAAAGTAATGTCGGAATAAGGTGGTGCTGTTTTCCTGGAAACCTTGGATACGCTAGTTACTTATGTGCAGA